TCATATTTGTAAGGATCCAGGACAAGCCTGATCGTGCAGCGATGCCCTCGCCACTGTCAGCTACCGTGATTATCACAGCTCCACCTCGAGGGGCTTCCAACAGGACTGAGTCAACTTTTCCGAGGGAACTAGTGGGCGCGCGCTGGTTAGGCCAGGCTTGTCTACCTCTTGCCTAGGTTACTTTGCCTTCCTGGGTCTCCACCATGGCCCACCCCTTGAGCGTGTCTGTGGGTGGGGTCTCTGAGGCCACACTCACCTCCCAGAGTCGGTGAAGACAAAGCGACGCAGCTTGAGGTCACGCAGGACTAGACCGTGCTGGTGACAGTGCGCCAGGGTGGCGGCCATCTGGCGGAAGAGTGCAGCGGCCTCGGGCTCGGGCACGCGGCGGCGGCTGCGCACCAGGCTGTGCATGTCCCCGTGGGTCCGAGCGAAGAAGGTGTAGAGGAGCTGGGGGCCCGCCAGCACCTCGGTGGGCCGGGCCACGTGGTCGCCGCGGGGCAGCCGTGCGTAGGGCTCCAGCACCGCAGGGGCCTCGTGAGCGGGGTACACCTGTGGGTGGAGCATGGTGTGAGCACGGCTGGGGACCCCAAGGAACTTGGGCTGGCCTCGCAAAACGGTCCCAGCTGTCACTCAGCCCTGACAACAGTCCTTTAAGTACTATGACCTGCCCCATTTTACACTTAAGGAAGCTGAGAGGCCCCAGCAAGCGCGCAGCTGGGATCGCACCTATGCGCTCCATCATCTGTGCTCTCGACTGCCCTATAATGACCTTGAATGTCAGATAATTGAAATAACAGGTCACACAAACAGAAAAATAACCCTCAAAGCAGAGGAAATCCAGAAGGGCAGATAATGCGGAAGTCACCTTATGCCCATCATCTTCAGGGCTACATTCACTAGTCTCCGCTGTCCACCCCGGTTTCGCTCATTCCGCAAGCCGGCGTGCAGCCCACCTGAGCCAGCCACCAGCGTCTAACTGGACTGGCAGCCCTGGGCCCTGCTCTCCTGGCGCCCACTGGGAGACAGTATAACAAGCCAACAAATTAAATATTTACAAATTCTGATATGCCTTGCAAAGGAACCAAGAAAGATGCCGGAATGGAGAGTACTTTGGAAGGGGGCACCTATTTTAGAAAGTGCGGTCCAAAAGTGACAGCTTTCTGGGTGGAGAGGCACAGACAGTGCAAAGGCCCTGAGGCAAGAGAGAGCTTCACCTGCTCTTGAGACCCAGGCAAAGATCAGTGTGGCTGCAATGGTGAGGGCCGAGAAGAGGAACATGCAGGGAGGGTGGCGAGGTTGTTGGGAAACGTGCTGGGGGTTAATGGGCATTCCAGCGAAACTCACCCTAGCCCTGAAAGGTGTGTCCCACTTTACTGATGGTAAGACTGAGGTTCAGAGAACGGAAGTGACTTGTTAGAAGCCATACAGCCAATCGGTGGCAGAGCCAGTATGCTCGCTTTGGTTCGTCTGACTTTAAACCCATTGCATGTTATATTAACTATGCCACACAGAAAAAAAAAGAAAGCATATACATATTTAATCCATGAGAAAAATTGAAAGCATATAACTTTAAAAACCCAGTTGAGGTGACATGGAGGAAATAACTCAACACAGAAACTACATTTTTTTTTTTTTAGTTAGGGCGAGCCCATTCCTGCCTCTGTGCACTTGCGCTTGCTGTACCCGGTGTCTGGACGCGCCTCCCCTAGACCCACAGGCTGGCTCCTTCCATCCAGGAAGTCGCCGCTCGCACGTCACCTCCCCAGCTAAAATCACTGCACCACTGCCCTCCCCGTCCCCTGATGTCCCTGTTTCCAGCTTTATTTTGCCTCCATAGCACTTATGATCACATGGCACATGTTTTCCTTATTCACCGTGTATTCCTGGTCTTTCCCAGGAGAACATCAGTTGGTGCTGGCAGAGCTGTGTTTTAGCCACAGCACAGAGCGCCGCATGTACTGGTGCGCAATGAAGCTTTGTCGAATCAACGAATAAGGTGATACTCTGCAAAGATAGGATGCTGCTCTTTCTACACACTGACCGGAAAAGCCAAGGCTATTCTGGCAGTGATACTTCAGCCCCCGCAATTCACACTGGCACGGGGACGGGCCCAGCCCAGTGGATTTCCCCAAATGTTTCTGGTGAATGGGGCCCTGTGACAGCATGGCGCTTCTGCCTCGGGCCTGCTTGGGTCGTTCCTCTCGGCATGGGCTCCCCTCCGCAGTGGGAATGGAAAAGAACCTGTGATGCTGCAGGAAGGGGACCCAGAGTTCAGGGTTCCAGGGAGCACCTGGGTTAGAGCACTGGGGACCAGCATTAGGCAGCGCAGAGCGCAGGTGAAGCTGGGGGCTGGACCTTGTGTGGATCTCCCCGCCTGCACACTGTGCCCCTTCGGCAGGCGCTGCAGCCAGCTGTTGCTGCTCCCAGCAGGAAACTTAAGTCCCTCCACCTCTCTGTGCATCCCCAAGAGACCCAGGTGGCCTTCTGCTCCTCCCTTGTGTATCTGGGTCTCCCCTATTTTCCTTACACCTGCCTACCAGGGGCAGCCTGCCCTGCTTGTGTCTGAAACGCTTATTCTAACGTGGAACACAGGACTCTCTGGGCTCAGCCTGCCAGCTCTGCCACCTCCTGGCTCTGTGATGCGACAAGTAACCACATCTCTCTGAGCCTCAGTGTCCTCTATCTGTAAAATGGGCACAATAATTTTAACTATCTCATTGGTTGTGTGAAAATTAAAAGAAACTGTGCACACTAAGCAATCAACATAGAACCTGGTGCACAGTAAATATCTATTGTTAGACTTTGTATTCTCATCTCGGTCCTTTTGGTGATGTGACCTGCCAATGTCCTGCATGGCCTGACCCTCAGGGGGCCTTGGCCCTGCTCATTTCCTGATTTCTGCCAGGAGTGCTCGGACTTCTGTACCCCTTACCTCCCCCTAGGATCCAGGCCTGATGCTATGTGACTTCATGCATGGCCTTTCCCCTCTCTTGACCTCAGTCTTCCTATTTGTAAAATGGCCACAGGTTAGGCTCAATCACCTCTTGGGTCCCAGGAGTTCTGATGTCCACCACATCTCACCTTTCTCTCATGTAAACACGCAAACATCTACAGTGGCTCCCCACAGCCCAGAGGAAGCTCCTTCCTGATGCTTTCGTGCCCAGCTGCTGCCAGCTCCCACCTCCTGCCGCTTTCTGCACACCCTCTCCCTCTGGCCTCTGAAGTGCCATGCGCTCACTCCTCTAGGCCTTTGCACAGCTGTTCCCCCTGTCTGCAACTCCCTTCTCCCACTGCTACCTGGCTAACTCCTATTCAGCCTCTTCTGACACCCCCGTGAATACATTAGAGGCATCCTGTGTGCTCACATGCTCCCTAAGCTGCACCCTCGAAGCATTTATCTCAGGATAGGGCCTCAGCTGTGAACTGCCCCAGGGCTGGGACCACGTCTGGTTCACCTCTCTCGTCTCAGCCTAGCCAGGGACTCACTGGCTGCTTCCCCAGTAAACACAGGAATAGATGAATATAAGGACCCCTCAGTGCCCTGGCAATCTTCTGGAGCTAAGAGCCTTTCAAGGCCTCCTGTGATGCTGGGGGAGAGAGGCCCGTGGGCACGTACCTTGCAGGTGTACTCGGTGCCTGTGGGGCTGTGCAGGGCCCGGTAGACCCGCCCGCCCTCCTCGGGCTCCAGGAGGACATAAGGCCCAAGCTGGGAGGCAGTGGCCACAGCAGGTGCACGATCTGGAGCAGGGGGTGGGCTCGGGGGCAGCAGGCAGCGGGGTGGCCTGGGCTGGGGCACACTTCGAGCTCGTTTCCGGATGGGACACTCGGTGTCCAAGTCGTCGTCCAACTCCAACCGCTTCTTCCTGGAGGGGGCGTCTGCAGGAGCAGCAAGGGGGGTGGCTTGCATCTAGAAACAAGGGGAGAAAGGCACTAAGCGGGGGCTGTTTGGTGGCCTCTCTTTTCCCCTGCTGGTGGAAGGGTACATGGCACAGCCTTTATGGAGGGTGATTTGGCAGTGTGTGTTAAAATGACAAAAGCACATACTCTTGACTGGCGTCCCACTTCTCGGAATTTATCCTCCAGTTAAACTGCTCACAAAAAAATTAGATATGCGAAAGGCTGATGATCAGAGCCTTGTGTCTATAGCAAAAGACAGGACTACCCCTAATGTCTGGCAGTAGGAGGCTGATCAAACATCATGGTACAGCCCTGTAGTGGAATAGTATCAAGCTCTGAAGAAGGACCAGGAAGCTCTCCGTATACTGATGTGGACTGATCTCCCAGATGTACGAAGAGAAAAAAGCCAAACATGGAATTATGTGTGCACGATGCTCTGTGTTGAAGAAGAATATACGAATATAAATATATTATACTGTGTATATATAGGTTTATATATGTATAGACTCTCTCCGGAAGGACACACAAGGTTGAAAGGAAACTTGTACTTTTATACATTTTGAATTTTGAACCATGTAAATATATTTCCCAATCAGAAATTTATATTTAAAGAAATAAATACCTGTTTGAAAACACAGCTTGTTCCTTTACAAATCATAGTAAAGAAAAACAGTGCTCACTTTGGCAGCACATATACTAAAATTGGAATGATACAGAGAAGATTAGCATGGCCCCTGTAAA